GATTGCCAGGTCCTCTTTATACAGCTTTTGCTTCACACACACACACACACACACACACACACACGCCTACATGCCTGTGTTTCTTTTATCTGCCAGTGTTTTGCTTCAAAAGTTCATTGCCCTTTCAACATAATTCCCATAATTATTTCTCAAGTTATAACCCTGCTTTGCCAAAGATTTGCATTGCTGACACATTATTTCGGAAAACAAGACGTGATACTGCCATTTTCCTGGTTACAAATGTCAAGTAGCTTCTCATCACCTTTAGGAAAACATCCTAAAAATAAGAGCTTATCACAAAGCAAATTAGTTACAGCCTAAAAGCATAAGTTCCTGAGGTCCTGGACATTGTCGTGGTCACTGGTATCTCCAGCCTAGAGGACGGTACCTGGCACAGAGGAGGTACTACAGAAATATTTGTTAAATTAAATTAATGAATAACAGATGCCTAGAAAGTCTTTTTTAAAATGGATTTTGACCTAGTGGTAGCTTACTGACAAGACTGCAGAATCTCTCTTTGTTATGTGAAAACAACCAGTTTAATCAATGGCAACAAATCAGCGGTTTGGGCAGTTTTAACATATGCTATACCATTGTGCTCAGAAAGGGTGTTGTCATAATCAGTGCAAACACCGTAGGGTTGACTACAAGATGTCTACAAAAAGAAAGAGGATCTGGTCCATCTTAGTTATCTGTACTCCTCTTTCCACAAGGATTTGTGGCACTTTATATACAAAATGTAGTAAGTCTGCTTCAGATTTGGCTTGAAACTTTCTGACTACCAAGTTGAAAAGGGCAGTTGACATGTAATTCTTATCATTGGGCAGGAGCAAATATTTCTTAACATTAAGTTCTAAAACAAATTTCCCACCTGGAGCTTTATATAAGGGGCATTGAACAATGGGGTGGATGTTATACTGCACACCGTTCCTACAGCAAATAAGGTAATTTTTAAATTTTTTATTAAATCCATCTGGTAATAATAAAAGCCCCTACTCAGTCGTGTCAGGTCTGTTTGGAGCTAAGACAGTATGGTCCTATGTGGCCTTCTGTTGTTCACCCGGCTTGACTCTAAGGATAAACTTGGAGCTCCTGGCCTTCATATTGTCTTCCCTACGTAAGCCTCCCTTCTCCCTTCTGGCCTTCTGACTGGTCTGGCAGAGCAGCCATGTTAACACTGGGCTGTCAGGCTAGGGCTTGAACTGCCGTTTGCTGGTGACTGGTTAAGATTGTTCTTATGCCATAGAAACTAACTGAGTTGGTGCGAATGACATCAGGTGCCTAAATAAGCAGGTTCCCTGCATAGGGAATGCAGGAGCACCTGCAGGCTAAGCCAGACAAGACACCTCCTTGCATCGTCATCAAATTAGAAAGCATTGATCAGCTTTTTATTCCCTAACTTACTAAGATTTAAATTCCCTGCCAAGAGTATGCTAAATCAGGCATGCTTATATACTGTTGGTGGCAGTGTATATTGATTCAGGCTTTTTGGAAAGCAATTTGGCAGTGTATTTCAAGAGCCTTAAAGGCATTCATACCATTTGACCTAGTAGTTCTATTTCTGGGAACTGTCCCAAGGAAATAATCCTTTAAAAAAAAAAGGTTTAAGCCTCAAAAATTTAAGTGTTACTTGTAATACTTCATTATTTCATTTATAGTATCAAGAAATTGGAGCACTTTAACTGTCTCACAGGAGACTAGATAAACAAATACATTCCACTCAAAGGAGTATTATGACTCAAGTTAAAATATTTTGAAGATGTCTGTTGTAAAAGAGAAATTTTCTTAAAATGTTAAGTCAGAAAAGCAAACTACAAAGAGTATAAACAGTAAAATTTGAACTGTAATGTAAAATATGCTTAGGAGAAAAGAATGGTGGGAAATACACCACAAGAATAAATCGGGTTTTTTTTCATTGCCACAGCTTATTTTTAAGAAAAACGATTTGGTAATTTTTGTTTAACACATTTGAAAGGAAGACTTCATATTCCCTAGAAAAGGGAGCTTTAGATAGAGAAGGGATAACTAATAACCCCGTGTCCTGCTGAATTGGAGTACTCAACCCTGAGGCCTCCCCTCTCTTTAAAGGCACACTTACTAAGCATCCTGATTTTGACAACAGAAAAAAGTACCCCAGGTGAGGGTCTCTAAATTCCCAACCATTCAGTTATTACAAAGGCCGTGTCTCTATTATGAAGTGAATAAATTGACTTTTTTGTTTATTAACTAGTGTGCTATGGATTTGATTACTCTGAATCAGTCTCCCAAGAGCCTGACTTTGCTTGTACATGGGATAAAATTAGATTTTTGAGCTTGGAAATTTGAGGGCTATCCTGGACTTATTGATCCCTACCAAAGCGTAACAGCAGTGGAACTCTGTTGCAACCATTAGCAGTCTGGTCTGTTGTTTCAGTGGCTAAAGAAGAAAGCACAGAAATAAAAGGGGAAAATTGTGTTTGTATGTTTGAGTTTAAAAAAAAAATCTAGAAATAGTGATGGTGAGCAATAAATGCTAGATAAATCACTTAGGAAAGCTTATGATTATCAATCTTTTGGGTTTTTTTTATTTGAAGTGTAATCTGGCTAAGTCTATTCACTTAATGTTTGACCTACTAATTAGCTTCTTTAGCAGTATTACATATTATATCACCAGACTTTGTACCTCATTCATACATTGTTTTTTATAAAAGCTTTATTCACATATAATTCACATGTCATATAGTTCCATTTAGAGTGCACAGTACAATATTTATAGAGTTGTTTAACCATTACCACAATCAGTTCAGGACATTTCATCACCCCAGAAAGAAACCTCATACCCATTAGCAGTTACTCTCAGTTTCCCTCCTAAACTCCTAGTCCCCGGTAACCAGTAATCTACTTTTTGTGTCTATAGTTTGCCTATTCTGGACTTCTCATATGAATTGAATCATTCAGTGTTTGGTCTTTTGTCACAAGATTCTTCACTTAGCATAATGTTTTCAAGCTTCATCAACATTGGAGTATGTATCAGTACTTCATTTCTTTTTTTTATTATTCATTACTTTCTATTTACTTTATTTCTAATGTTCCATTGTATGGATATACCACATTTTATTTATTCATTCATTTGTTGTTAGACATTTTGATTGTTTCCATTCTTGGCTAATATAAATACTGCTACGAACATTCATTGCAAGTTTTTGTGTGGGCATATGTCTTCATTTTTCTTGAATATCTATACACCTAGGAGTAGAATTGCTGTGTATATGGTAATTCTGTATTTAACATTTTGAGGTACCGCCAGACTGTTTTCCAGAGTGGCTGCATCATTTGTAATCCCATCAGCAATGTATGAGGGTACCAATATCACCACATCTTAACCAACCTTTTTATTATCTGTCTGTGAAGTGTATTGCACTATGTATGGTTTTGATTTGCATTTCCCTGATGACTAATGATGCTGAGCATCTTTTCATGTGTTATTGGCCATCTGAATATCTTTTTTGGAGAAATGCCTATTCAAACACTTTGCCCAGTTTTAAATTGCATTGTCTTTTCATTGCTAAATCTTAAGAATCTTTTATGTATTTTGGATATAAGTCCTTTATATATGATTTGCAGATATCTTCTATCTGTTTTAGGTTGTCTTCACTTTCTTGATGGTGTCCTTTGAAGCATTTACATTTTTAGTGTTTATGAAATGCAATTTATTTATTTTTTCTTGTGCTTTTAGTATTATATCTAATAAACCACTGCCTACTCCAGGCCCACAGAGATTTATATCTGTCTTTTCTTCGAAGAGCTTTTTAGTTTTAACTCTTACATTTATGTCTTTGGTCCATTTTGAGTTAATTTTTGTATATGGTATAAGGGAAGTATCCTAACTTCTTTCTTTTGCAAATTACTATCCAACTGTCCCAGAACCATTTGTTGAAAAGACAGTTTCCATTGAATTGTCTTGGCACCCTGTTTGGAAATCAAGTAACTGTAAATGTGAGGATTTCTTTGTGGACTCTCAACTCTAGTCCATTGCAGTTCCTTGCCAGTGTAAAGTTACAGAGAGAAAATGATGTTTACAGATAATGGCTTATTGCTAGCTTTAAGGTCACCTCAGGGAGGTAGGAATTTTATATAATGATGGTGGCTGGTTTCTAGATAAAGACTGTAGTTGTAGGAATTGAAGGGAGAGGCCAAAGAAATATAAATTTAGTAGAACTTGATGAGTATCTTAAATAATTAAAGGTGAGTCCAGTGTTATAAATGGAAGGCACTGGAAGGATAACTGTACTAAAGCTTACTGTAATGAGCAAGGTAAGAAAAAATTGTTTATAAAGATAATAACATTTGATTTTGCAATGCTTATTGCCAAAATCTTCATGTGAATTATAGAAGGTATCAGATTAACTATTAGATAGTAAATCAAGTCTGGTATATAGGAGCTTCCAGCATTCATTAAACAAAGTTGATTTGCCTTCTATAAGTACCTATTAATTTTTGTAACCCATCTTGTAAAATAAACTTCCAGTGTCTAATTTAAAGGTTAAGCCATGGTTTTATTTTCTCTGTATGATAAGTATAAGAAATAAGGTACTTGGTCATTGATTTTTAAAAACTTGAGAAGGATACCCAGACTCCATGGTTTGCTATTGTCATTAACAATATTATTGTTTTAAGGGAGGAAAACGTTTTTAATACTGACTACATTGAAAAACATAATCCACATAAATGATAAGTATAAGAAATAAGGTACTTGGTCATTGATTTTTAAAAACTTGAGAAGGATACCCAGACTCCATGGTTTGCTATTGTCATTAACAATATTATTGTTTTAAGGGAGGAAAACGTTTTTAATACTGACTACATTGAAAAACATAATCCACATATAGCAATATAGATAAGTTTCAGTGGCTCAAGATGGTTTTGTTTCCAAACATTAAAATTTGGCTGTTTTAGGAAATGTATTACATGTTGGAACTTAGTACAGTGCATTTATTTACCCCTCCTAAAATTTCTTTTAGGAATTGTCCCGTCTTCTGTTGTCCTGACTTCTTTCCAGGTGATGTCAAGAGTTTTTCTAATATGGGCAGTAACACATAGCGTCAAAGAGGTAAGTGTTTGTATGAACTGAAAGAAAACAATGTCAGCACTAACAAGTGCTAGTCCACATTTCTTGCTTACATGTGTGTTATGGCTAATGTTGGAAGTCCAGGTTACTGTGGGAATCAGGTTACTAGTGGGAAACATACCCCAAATATGCAGTGTTGTTTGCAGTAAACATCTAAAGAGAAGACTGATTAAATGATAAAGTCCTGCTGTCTTAGTTTCTATGGAGATTTAGTGTGGATGTGGTCTACAATTCAGTTAGATTTTTCTGCTATCTTGCTTGTATCCAACACACTAAACCCTGGACATTGCATCCTTGTGGGACTGTTAGGGGATTGGAGGACATAATTCATCCCGGAGCAGTCCAGTTTTTATAGGACGAAGAAAAACAAAGTTGCTTCCACCCAACCCACCAATATTATGGAATTCCCAAATGTGCTGAGTCCGGTGATTCTAGGAGGTGACTGGTGTGCCAGTGGCCTGGGGTGGTAGATGCCTAGGTAGGCCCAGGAATGCTCCTTGTAATGGAGAAAGCCACCATTACAATGAGGGTAATCCACAGCTAAGCTTTCGTTTTCTGGATTGGGGAGGGGGGTGTTTTCCCATATGCTTTTTGCTTTTTACAAGTCAGTTACTTCCTGCTAATGTCTTCTTGAGGTAGGATGCCTGTAGCTTCCAGGAGGATTCCGTTTTCAGTTTTGCAGTTAAGAATAACCTATCATCAGTATTGGATTCTCTGGGGCTCATGGAATACACTTACCTGTTAGCATTATTGTGGTGTTCTCTTTGTCCTCTAGTCTTTTAAAATCCATGTCAAAACATTTTGTATTTCAGGATTTATTAATTGACCATTTCATTTGTATTTCAACTAATGAGAGCTTTTTTTAAAAAACTTTTTATTGGTATATGATATACACACAGAAAAATGCACATAGCTTTATGAGTTTGTAACCAAAGTTGATTAAGCTGTTATTTTTGTTATATTCATATGGAATCTGCAGCCCCACAGACCTTTTTTTAAGTTCCCCCACTTGTTGAAGATGTCTAAATCCCTATGCAGGAAGAATAAAAAATAATCACATACTTTTTTTCCAGTGATGATATTTTCTTTTTTAGTTTAAAAAAAAGCAGGCAAGTAAATCCTAATGTAGTATATTGCCCTTTGTTCTCACTCTTGTTTATGGAGTAAGTTTACTTTATTTATATGTAATACTGTGTAACCTTTTGTTCATTTCAAAGTTCTTTGTACAAACCATCATTACATTTCCTCCTCCCTTATGTTTGTGTTCACACTCTTTCCTTCTCATTTCACCAACTCAAGAGTTCTGACTTCCAAGTAGTCTCAGGTCACCTAAAATTTCTCTCTAAAAGTGACTCATTTACGTTCTTAAATAGGTAATTTTGTACTTGGAATAATTAAGTGTTAGGTACATGAAGACAGAGTATTGTCAGCTACCAAGGGTTCAGTCGCTTTGCCAATACAGGCAGATATTAATTGTCCAGATGCTGGTGCACCAGCTGATGGATTATTCATGACCTCTGCTTCTCCTCCTGTATTCTGCTTCAGTGACCACTTCTGCTCGTTAGCCCTTCTTACAAAGGAGACAGCAGATAAATAAAAAATGCTTACAATTCAAGTCAAGCAACTCTGTTAGCTCTGTTACTGATGCCTGTAGCTTCCAGGAGGATTCCGTTTTCAGTTTTGCAGTTAAGAATAACCTATCATCAGTATTGGATTCTCTGGGGCTCATGGAATACACTTACCTGTTAGCATTATTGTGGTGTTCTCTTTGTCCTCTAGTCTTTTAAAATCCATGTCAAAACATTTTGTATTTCAGGATTTATTAATTGACCATTTCATTTGTATTTCAACTAATGAGAGCTTTTTTTAAAAAACTTTTTATTGGTATATGATATACACACAGAAAAATGCACATAGCTTTATGAGTTTGTAACCAAAGTTGATTAAGCTGTTATTTTTGTTATATTCATATGGAATCTGCAGCCCCACAGACCTTTTTTTAAGTTCCCCCACTTGTTGAAGATGTCTAAATCCCTATGCAGGAAGAATAAAAAATAATCACATACTTTTTTTCCAGTGATGATATTTTCTTTTTTAGTTTAAAAAAAAGCAGGCAAGTAAATCCTAATGTAGTATATTGCCCTTTGTTCTCACTCTTGTTTATGGAGTAAGTTTACTTTATTTATATGTAATACTGTGTAACCTTTTGTTCATTTCAAAGTTCTTTGTACAAACCATCATTACATTTCCTCCTCCCTTATGTTTGTGTTCACACTCTTTCCTTCTCATTTCACCAACTCAAGAGTTCTGACTTCCAAGTAGTCTCAGGTCACCTAAAATTTCTCTCTAAAAGTGACTCATTTACGTTCTTAAATAGGTAATTTTGTACTTGGAATAATTAAGTGTTAGGTACATGAAGACAGAGTATTGTCAGCTACCAAGGGTTCAGTCGCTTTGCCAATACAGGCAGATATTAATTGTCCAGATGCTGGTGCACCAGCTGATGGATTATTCATGACCTCTGCTTCTCCTCCTGTATTCTGCTTCAGTGACCACTTCTGCTCGTTAGCCCTTCTTACAAAGGAGACAGCAGATAAATAAAAAATGCTTACAATTCAAGTCAAGCAACTCTGTTAGCTCTGTTACTGTTAACAACATCTGCCAGGATTTCCTGGGCAGATCATTGAGACTACTTGGTTTAAAAAGCTATTAAGTGTCATTTTGGATTCCAGGTACGTAGACCTGGCCATTATCCTCAATAACAACACTGCCTTACGAAACACATAGATTTGACATTTAGCAGGTGGTTTCACATGTAGTGTCATCTTTGAGCTTTACAGCAATTTAAGTTATATACTCATTACATTTGCATATTCACAATTGTTACTCTGCAACCAAATGTACCCAGTTTCTACTATCATTAACATACCCTTTTCTTAAGAATATGGTACGGTAGGTTCCATTCTCTTTCTCCCACCTCTGGGTCTTCTTTTTATTTACACCCTGTTGGTTAGTTGACTTGCTCCTTTCTCACATAAGTAGGATTCAGTGTTGCTGCAGTTTCCGGCTCACAGTTCTTTCCTCCTGGTTCCCCTCTTCTTAACAGAACTCATTCATCATCATTTTATTCATAGCAGTGGGTCCCCTCCCAGCCCACCCCAGGGCATTGATGAAAAACTTCAAAAGCCTATTGCCGTGACATTTCAGAGGCCAGGCTGCTGTCTGTCACCTGTTCCTTAGCCCCTTCTCTTGGCCAAATGCTATTTTTCCTGCCTTAGCGTTTCATATTAGCTATAATTCAGTTTGTTCTGTACAACATTACATATGGCTACCCTGCCAAAGTTCTGTTCTTCTGTTTCCTGAAACATCTTCAAAGTATCTTTATTTTCCTTAAATTCAGCTGTTTAATGGTAGGAACCACATAACTGATTGACCTCAGAACAATTGCTTAATAAAATACATCTCACTGTCTCATAGTAATGTTCAAAATATTTGCATACTACTCTGCTTTCATTGTTTCTTTTTACATCATATTCCCCTCTAAAGTGGACAAGAATTTATGTTCATAGCATTACATTTGGATTTGGCCTCTCACTCCACCCTGTCTGTCCTGCTCATTTTTTTTCTATGCTCATTCCCTTTGTTTTTCTGTATTTATACATGATGTGCTAAGGTTTATGTACCTTTAAAGACTAGATGTTACTTTTTTCATATCTGAGGTATATTTCCTTTTAAGAGGCCCTATAGGATATACATCCCTCATCATTAATTCTCTACCCCATGGAATGCTATTCACATAAATGTCACCATGTATACCTTGCAGAACTAGAAAGTGGTCAGATGGTTTTCTTTTATGACACATAATGACCCACCCATCAGCTAATGTGACACCTTGATTAACAGGATAGTAAAGAAAAAATTGTGGTATTTTATATTCAAAAGGTTTTTCTTAACATAGTAAAAAACCTTCCAACTTCTTTCCTTTAAAGAGGCTGTATGTATGAGCAAAGTAAAGCTTCTAACAGAACAACAAGCTCGGTACAAGGTAGGACATGGGGGATCCAGGAGGGAATCAGCAGTTCTGGCTGACCTCGTTCCTTCCCAGTTTTCCCACCTGTCCCCCAGCCTGAGCTGGCTTCCTCCCTGTCCCTGAGTGGGTTGGTGACTGCTGGGGTCACAGGAGGCCTCCCCTGGCTTTGTTCCTCTCACCCTCTGTTTGGGTGTGTTCTTTGTCTCTTTGTTGAATTGAAACAAGATTGGCATTTTTCAAAGTGAACTTAAGTGGTAAATGCCACCTCCCATCCCTCACTACAGCTCCCTTCCCAAAACAGTCAAGTTCATAGGGCACATATCTTCCTTGTTCAAAAGTAGCTAAGCTGAGCCCCAGATACCTGGACATGCAAGTAGGCCACTGTCCCTTTCCTGGTCTAGCCCTCTTTGAAGAAGCCACCCCAGATTCTCTCCTGAGAGCTCTTAGTGTAAGATCACTGTGTTCTTGGAGCAGAAGTCTCCGGTCACCTCCATGGGCAATGGTTGAGAGAGATATTAGGCTTTCACCGTGGTGTTAGCCCAAGTGTGGTGAACACCCGGTACACTTCACTATGGGTGATTTGCCTAAACTGGAACTCTACCCTAGAGAGCTGAGCCTTTTCTCCTTTCTTCCTCACCCTTTGCCACCGTTGGAGAAAAGCATGTTTTCCCACATTCTTCTGGAATGTTCTATGAGTTCTCCTGATTTCACCAAGTCAGCTGTTTCCCACCTCTTTCTGACACTCTGTGGGCTTTGTGACACATTCTGCCGTTCTTGTCAACTTCTCAACAAGATGCTTACAAAAGCTTATAATGAGTGTGTTAGAAAGTTAGTATCCTCCAGTTTTTTATCATTATACTGGTTTTTGCTTGATGCATTGCAGTTTACAGAGGGCTTTGTTAAAACATACTATGCTCATTCGCTCTTGACAGCTGTCCCTTGAGGCAGGCTG